ATGACTCACCGGGACATGATAGATGCAGCGGACTCCTGTCTCCAACTGGAACACAAATCTGGAAACAAACTGAAGACTTTGATAATGACAGAGTCAGTTAAAGCTGTCAGTGTGTGTTCCTCATGTGCTCATACACACAATGACTGTACCATGACTTTAACACACACTCCTACCTGGTGTGCTGATGTGTGTGTCTCTCAGTGCTGTCAAAGCTGGAAGTGTCTTGTCTCTGTCCTCAGCCCAAACAATTGTACATGTCTTACCTTTGGCTGAGGAATCTAAAGTCACAGCCTCCAAATCCTGTTGAAGGCTGTACATTCACACAAGAGCACATGGGTTTAAGACCCACTCTTTGTCCTTTGACAAACTGTTAAATACTGTCAAATATGACTTGTGTGTGTGAGGAAATGAAGGAGAGACATTGTACCTTTATTATTGTTTTCATGAAGGTTTTAAAGTGAATTCAAAGTATTGGGTTCTTTAACACCAGACAATATAAGGTTTTGTGATGTTATTACCTTGAGGTTAAAACCTTATATTGTCTGGTTCAGAAGAACCCAAAATTCTAAACTTTTAAAGTGAGTGTAGAAAAGCACAGGGACAGAATGTTTTAAAGTAGCATTTACCTTTTACTCTGCATCAGCTTTGTTTGGTTAATATGTCTGTCTACATTGTCCAAACAAACACATTAATATGAAATAAATAAAATAAATAAAATAAATAAAATAGATAAAATAAATAAAATAAATAAAATAAATAACATAAATAAAATAAATAAAATAAATAAAATAAATAAAATAAATAAAATAAATAAAATAAAATAAATAAAATAAATACAATAAATAAAATAAAATAAATAAAATATTTGGAGACCACAGGATTTCGTCTCTGCTGTTTGCAGACGATGTTGTCCTGTTGGTTCCAACAAACCAGGACCTTCAACATGCACTGGGACGGTTTGCAGCCGAGTGTGAAGATAAAGATCAGCTCCAAATCTGAGGCCATGGGGCTTGACCAGAAAAAGGTGCCTCGCCCTCTCCAGGTGCAGAGGTCCTTCCTCCAGTGGAGGAGTTCAAGTATCTCGGGGTCTTGTTCACGAGTGAGCCTCTCGTGAACAACCTCTGGTCATGAGCTTTGGGTAATGACCGAAAGGACGAGATCAGATAGCATCCATCCATTTTCTTCCCCTTAATCCATTTCTTGGACGGGGGTGGCAGTCAGAGCACCAGCCCCTCACTGATCCTCCTGCAGGTGGTGAGTCCACAGGAGATTTGGTCTTCCAGCAGGGGCTTCAGGCAAAGTGGGGTTAAGTGTCTTGCCCAAGGACACAACGACAGCAGACATTAGTGAGAGTCGTGAAGTAGGTCTCGTGGTGGGCTCGAACCTATGACCTTCAGGCCCAAAGGCCAATGCTCTACCAACTGAGCCACTGTCACTGACTGAGCCACTGTGTCCTCAGACACAAGTGGTGGAAATGAGGTTCCTCTGCAGTGTCCCTCCCTTAGAGATTTAGGATGCGGAGCTCAGTCACTCAGGAGGAGCTCAGAGTAGAGCCGCTGCTTCTCCATGTCAAGAGGAGCCTACTGGACATCTGTTTCAGAGGCCTACTGGACGCCTCCCTGAGGAGGTGTTCAGAGCATGTCCCACTGGGAGAAGACCCCAGGAAGACCCAGGACACACTGTAGGGACTATGTCTCTCAGCTGGCCTGGGAACGCCTCGGGATTCCCCCGGATGAGCTGGAGGAAGTGTGTGTGGAGAGGGAAGTCTGGGCGTCTGTGTTTAGAGAAGCTGCTCTCGCAACCCAGCAATGGATAAAGCAGAATCATTGGAAGGAGGAGGGATCACAGCACCAACCCTGTAGATGGTACTCCACCTCCTCTCCTGCTGATCCTCCTCAGCTCTAGAGCAGGGTGACCCATGTGGCCCACGGGCCCCATCTTGGGAATCCCTGCTCTAGAGTGAACACAAGGCCAGGCGTACTATGCAGGAAACCACACTAGAGTCAGCTTAAGCTCTTATTTCTTCCATTCTCAAATACTATCAAGTCATTGTGTCATTGAGTGATTTTTGTCAAAGTTGATCTGTGTCTAATACGTTCCTACATAGTTTTCCTGACCTTTGATTTAAAAATGCACATCAAAGCAGTGGGAATCGCACCAGCAACCATCAATAAATCAATCAACAAACTTTATTTCCATAAAGTTCAAAGGGCTGGTTATCGGGCGACTCCCCACAGGAGAAAGCAAAGAGTACTATGGAGGACAGAGTGAGACCTCTGCTCACATGAGGATCATCTGTGGACTTACTGCTCATGTTCAATCTGTTTCTGCTCTGGACACTTGTCAGGATTTACACTTTATGGAAGTCCTACATAGTTTTCTTTGCCTTCTCCTCTTTTTGAAACAAACTATGACTGATCCTAGAACAAGGGTCTTAAACCTATAGTGCGGAGCGACCAGTGGCTCTCCAGGCCTTTCAAAGTGTCCTCTGAAAGGCTTTCTCTGTGTCTTTCATCACTGAAACTACTCACTATGATAGAATATATCCTTATTACATCATCTATCCTTTTGTGTTCTAATGAATGAACACATGCTTTATGTTTGATACACATATATCTGTCAAAAGGCTGAACACCCTTGTTCTAGGGAAATGTTTTTTTTTTTTTTTGGGTTTTTTTTGGCTTAAGGTAAATGGCAACATTTTGCCCCAATAAATAAATCAAGAAATAAATAAATGTTCAGAGGAGAAATGGGCTGCTGATGGTGGAGCGTGTGTCCCATGTGAAGCACTTTGTGACCTCCTCTGGTGTCAAAGTGCTGTAGAAACAGGCGTGGCCTTCTCTCCTCCTCTTCCTCCAGGACCTGTTGTCTCCAGTCTCAGTCTGAGCTTCAGTCCTCGTCTGAGTCGGAGTCTTGGAGCAGGTGGAGCTGCTGGAAGTAGTGGACGAATCCCCCGGACGTCCCAGCAGAGGTGGAGGGGGTGGGCTCCTCCTCGATGTCCTCAGAGCAGGAGAAGCGCGGCCTCTTGGAGATGGGCTCTTCCTCTTCATCTTCATCCCTGTGGCGCCTGGACTCCCTGGACGACGCTCCTCTTCAAAGACGGGACAGGGCGCAGGAGGAGGGCTCACTGCTCGCTGCTGAGGAACCCCCACAGCTGGAGCAGGAGGGTCCCACGGGGGCAGGCCGGCCCAGAAGTCCTCTGGAGGAAGACGCTGGTCGTCCTCTTCACTGTCCTCGTCTTCCTCTTCGCTGACGTCCTCCTCGGAGAGACTGTCGTAGCCAGAGTCTGCGTCGTCCCCAGTCCTCCTCCTCTTCATCCTCTTCATCAGAAGGCTCGTGCAAGTCCCGGCCACGCATGAGGAGAAAAGCCCTACCTACCTGCAACTCACCTGCGTCCTCCTCGTCTGACGAGTAGTCAGGGAGAGGGTCCTCCGGAGCGTCCAGGGGGTCCCGAGCCGCTGCAACATATTGACAACATCAACAACTTCCTCACACACTAAAGTGTTCTTGTTTTGTCAAAGTCAGAGTCAAACACAGCAGTCCACATCATCATGAAGACAAAAGAGAAGGAAAGCACCAGTGGAGTCAGGATCAGAAGGACATTTTCTTTGCTTTTTCTAGCCCTCAAGTCCTAAGTATTTGAGTGGACTATTATGGTACATTATCTAGACTTGGTGTAGTATTAGCGGATCCCAGTGAGCTCAGTGTGCCTTCTGCAGCACTACAGTGCACCACTCTTACCACCATCAATGAGAAATACTCAGATAAACCAGTGTACAGCATCTCCAGCAATGTCTAATGTGCCTCAACTGCACCCTCGAAGTCGGACAATTTGAAATGACTAGTATCCTGAGGCGGACACGCGCCACCTTTTTTGTCATGTTGGATTTTATCAGACGTTTGGCAACAACGGCCACGGGAAAGCTGTGGGTAAGCATACTCAACACATGTTAAATGTTAATTTGTGCAAAAAATAGTTCATGAATGTTGCGAATTTCATTGAGTAATCATGTTTTGAAGTTGCTTTTTAACGGAAATGCGGGGCATGAAGTGCTTAGGCGACGCGCTGGACGACGCTCTGATCCGACAGGAGAGCTCTCATTTTCACTCTCTGTTCTTACGATTAAAAGGCCAAATATCGTCTGTTCTTAACGGTCACATGGGGTAGATCAACTAGTGTCAATGCACGTTACTAAGTCTTATAAATACACAAGTGTAAAATTAGCTATATTAATTAAGGTGGGTACATTGTTTAATTCCGCTGTCCAGTTGCTTGCTCTGAAAAGCCTAACCCAGGAGTCTGTTCACAGATTCGGGGGTTTCAAAAACACGCTAAAACATCAGTTTATGGATACTCAGCAAGTAGCAAGTTAGTTAATGGTTAGGTTAGGTTAAGTGCACAACTTATAAATGAAATTCATATTCAAAATTTCATTTGCAGAAAATAAGCCCTCCTGAGTCACTCAAAATGTAGGTTAAACGTCTTTCCCCCCCGAGTTATACTCCAAACTTCAAACAGCGCCCCCCTTGGGCGCTACAACATAGTCTAGCATAGAACAAGTTTCTGTTTGAGTATTTTATTATTCTATAGATATATTGCATTGCTTTATGTTTCTGTCTTTTTGTGTAATTGAAAGCTAGATCGAGGAAAAAGACATAAGAATTAGGAAAGGAAAGATTCGAGCATTGGATATTTTCAAGTTAGTAGGAAGGAGGTGTGGGTCTGGCTTTTGTTATCCACAGACTTAAAGAAATTGTGCAAAACATGACATGACATGGACACTGATAAGGTCACAGGTAACATGCACACACAATGTCGACTCTGCATGCCTAGAACACATTAGAACTTATACAAATTGATGTAACAATAATTACAATCATTTAAAATATAATAAGCAATTTGTATTTATAAATGTATAAATGTATTTCTTCTCCTTAGATGCCCGAGCATACTTAATCAGGAACGACAAAGGAAGTTCCGTATTTGGAATCCGGTGGCCATGCAGGGGGCCATTGATGAAGTGCGGCAGGCAGGCTCTCTTATGTATAGGCAGGCAGCTGTCCATTTTTGGTCCCCAAGTCCACCCCTGCGAGACCGAGTCAGTGGGAAAGTGGCCTCTGACAGCACCTATGGTCAGAGGCCACTTCTCTCTGAGAAGATGAGATTTGCGCTGGTGGAGTACTGCCTTACTCCGCCAGCTTTGGATTCCCACCTGACAAAGTCACAGGTGGTGACCCACGCTCTGGCAATTTTTCAACCGGCGCCACCCACAAACACCAAAGGTGGCGCTGAGCCAGACGTGGTGGGTCAAACTTCAGGGAGAGACAAAACAACGGCTCACCACCAGGACCCCAGATATTATTGACCATGGGAGAGCATCCTGTGCGAAGAGGGGGCCTGTCGAGGACTATTTCAATCTACTGTCCTCGACAATGGACAGGTACGGGCTGAGAGGGAAACCCCACTGCATCATCAACTGCGACGAACGGGTTTCAGCTGGACAGCCAGAGGAGGAAAGTCGTCGTGCCCCCGGGGTACCCAAGCACGCTTACAGACAGGCTCCAGGCACCAGGGAGCATATAACCGTCCTGGCCTGTTTAAATGCGGCAGGGGAGGATATCCCCCCCCCCCCCCCATTCATGATTTACATGGGATGACCGGGGGGCCCTTATAATAAAGAAGTCCCATTGCTTTTATGGAAGTCACCGCGGATATAGACAAGCGTTGGTGAAGTGGTTTAATAAACCAAGCATTTCTTAAAACATCGCCACCCAGGACGCCCATGCTAGCGGTTATGGACGGTCATAGCATCCACCTCCCAAGCTGATCCAGGCCGCACAGGGAGGCAGGGGCATCCGTTTGTGCCTCCCGCCTCGATCCAGCACAGTCACCATCCGTCAACCCGGGATGTATTTTTTTTTTGGACCCTTGAAGCAGATTTTGCAGGCAACAATGGGAGCGCTGTCGGCGGGAGCACTCCTTCACACTGTCCCAAAAAGAGTTTTCAAGGGTCCTCAAAACTCATAACTGAAGATGAGGGAGAGAAGGCTTGTGGTTAGGCTTCAGAATGTGGGGCCTCTACCCCTTGATCCCCGGGCCGTTGACTGTCCCGATCATCCATATGGCCTCCACACCACCAGCCTCCTCCTCCACCGCCTCCTCCTCCACCGCCTTCTCCACCGACGCCTTCTCCACCACCCGCCCGTCTCCACCACCGCCTTCTCCACCACCGCCTTCTCTCCACCACCGCCTTCTCCACCACCGCCTTCTCCACCACCGCGTGATTCCATCCTAGCCCATCCTCTGGTGGTGTCGGGAAGGATCCCCCCTGACCTGGCTGACCTGCTAATGGAGGTGAAATTCCATAGAAGCCAAGGCAGGTTAAGGAGGAACATTTCAAAGGCGCGCATCTTGACAGCGGAGGACATGGCTACCACCATCGAGGAGGCAGAAGACAGAGCTGCGAGGAGGGAGGCTCAAGCTCTGGCCAGAAGAGACAGAGAGCAGCAGCGGGCCTGAAGAGATCCAGCTGGAAGCCACTTCCGCCATAGCTGTGACTCCCAGCCCAGCCGCATCAGTGCAAACCCCGGTGCTCATCTGCCAGTTCCGGACATTCCACCCCGGCCTCTCAGCCTCTCATGCCCCCTCCAATCCCCTCGAATAACCAAACCTGCCTGCCACGGTCTTCAGGTACTGTGCCTGACTCTTCCTCGAATACCAACTACCTCGAATATGTTGGGCCGGTGCTGCAGGCAGCACTAGTTGGTATTCGAGGAGAGTCAGGCAGCACCGTGGGGAGGTTTTGAAAGGGGATTGGAGGGGGCGGAGAGGCCGGTGGTGGAATGTCCGGAACTGGCAGATGAGCACCCCACTGATGCGGCTGGGCTGGGAGTCACCAGCTATGGCGGAAGTGGCTTCCAGCTGGATCTCTTCAGCCCGCTGCTGCTCTCTGTCTCTTCTGGCCCGAGCTTGAGCCTCCCTCCTCGCAGCTCTGTCTTCTGCCTCCTCGATGGTGGTAGCCATGTCCTCCGCTGTCAAGAATGCGCGCCTTTGAAATGTTCCTCCTTAACCTGCCTTGGCTTCTATGGAATTTCACCTCCATTAGCAGGTCAGCCAGGTCTAGGGGGGATCCTCCCGACACCACCAGAGGATGGCTAGGATGGAATCACGCGGTGGTGGAGAAGGCGGTGGTGGAGAAGGCGGTGGTGGAGAAGGCGGTGGTGGAAAAGGCGGTGGTGGAGCCGGCGGTGGTGGAGAAGGCGTCGGTGGAGAAGGCGGTGGAGGAGGAGGCGGTGGAGGAGGAGGCGGTGGTAGTGGAGGCCCATATGGCATGATCCGGACCAGTCAACGGCCCCGGATCCAAGGGGGTAGAGGCCACACTTTCTGAAGCCTCCCAACCACAACGCCTCTATCCCTCATCTTCAGATATGAGTTTTTCGAGGACCCTTGAAAAACTCCTTTTTGGAAAGTGATGAAGGAGTGGCTCACAGCCGACAGATCCCCAGTTGTGCTGCAAAATCTGCACTTCAAGGGTCCAAAAAAAACTCACATCCAAGGGCTGAAGGATGTGTGACGTGTGCGGCGGGAGGCACAAAAAGATGACCCCTTGCCCCCTGTGCCGCCTGGATCAGCTCTGGCCCGAGGTGTGATGCATGACCGTCCCATAACCAGCAGCAGCGGGCGCTCCTGGGGTGGCATGTTTTTAAAGAAATTGCTGGTTAACCACTTCACAAACATGATCATGTCCATATATCCAGCCGGTGACTTCCCATAAAGAGCATTGGGGACCCCTTCTTTATTATAAGGCCCCCCGGATATCCCCCCTTGTAAATAATGAATGGGGGGATATCCTCCCCCCCCCCTGCCGCATTTAAACAGGCCAGGACGTGATATGCTCCCTGGTGCCTGGAGCCTGTCTGGACCGTCTGGGTACCCCCGGGGCACGTCGACTTCCTGCCGCCTGGCTGGCCACCTGAAACCCGGGGGGGGGGGTGGGGGGGGCTCTCGCGCAGTTGAAGATGCAGTGGGGTTTCCCTCTCGAGCCCAGTACCTGTCAATTTGTCGAGGACAGTAGATTGAAATAGCCCTCGACACCCCCTCTTCCACAAGGCCTACCATGGTCAATAATTTCTGGTCCTGTTGGTGACCGTTTGTTTTTGTCTCCCTAAGTTCCCCACCACGTCTGCTCAGCCCACCTTTGGTGTTTGTGGGTGCGCCGGTGGAAAATTGCCATGAGCGTGTGTCCACCAACCTGTGACTTTGTCAGTGGGAATCCCAAAGCTGCGGAGTACAGCGTACCCACCAGGCGCATGCCTCATCTTTCTCAAGAGAAGTGGCCTCTGACCAGAGTGTCTGTCAGAGGCCACTTTCCCACTGACTCCGGTCTCGCAGGTGGACTTGGGACCCCAAAATGGACAGCTGCCTCCTATAAGAGAGCCCTGCTGCCCGCACGTCATTCAAGGGCCCCCGGCAGGCCTACCGATTCCAATACAACTTCCTTTGAGGTCGGCTCCCTGATTACACGTATGCTCGGCATCTATGGATAAGAAATTCATTTATACATGTATAAAATACTAACTTGCTTATATATTTTATTGATTGTTATTATTGTACATCAATTGTATAATTCTAATGTGGTCTATGGCAGCAGAGACATTGTGGTGCTGTTACCTGTGACCGTATCCAGTGTCCATGTCCCAATGGCTGGTCTGCACAATTCTTTAAGTCCTGTGGATAACAAAAGCACCAGACACACACCTACCTTCCTACTAACTTGATAATATCCGAGCTCGATCTGTCCCTTCCTAAGCCCTCTTAGTCGTGGTCCCTCGATCTAGCCTTCAATACACAAAAAGACAGAAACATAAAGCAATGCTATACTATAAATAAAATAAATACTCAAACAGAAACTTGTTCTCTGATACTTGTGGTAAGCCCCAAGGGGCGCTGTTGATTTATAATGCGGGAGGAAACATGACTTAATTTACATTTGTGACTGTCAGGAGGGCTAATTTTGCAAATGAATTGTGAATATGGAAATGCATTTATAGATGTGCTCTAACCTAACCTAACCATTAACTACTGGCTACTTGCAATATCCATAACCTGATGTTTTAGCGTGTTTTTTGAAACCCCGAATCTGGTACAGACTCCTCGGTTAGATTTTCAAGCAAGCAACTGGACAGCAGGATTAAAAATTAAATACTATTTAATATAGCAAATTTTACACTTGTATTTATTAGACCTAGTAACGGGCATTGACAATAGTGTATCTACCAATGTGACCGTTAAGAACAGACAATTTGCCTTTTAATCCGTAAAACAAGAGTGAAATGAAGAGCTCCCGGTCGTCTAGAGCGTCGTCAGAGCGCGCCTAAGCACTTCATGCAAGCATTTCCGTACTAAAGCAACTTCAAACAGTGATTACTCAATGAAAGTACAACTTCATGAACAATTTTTTTCACCAATATATCATTAACATGTGTAGAGTATGCTTACCCAAGCTTTCCCGTGGCCGTGTTGCAACGTCCTGATAATAATCAAACATGACATAAAAGGTGTCGCGTGTCCGACTCAGGATAAGAACATTTCAAATGGTCCGACTCAGGGTCACTCCCGTAATCCACTTGAGGCACATTAGCATTGCTGGATGCCTGTACACTGGAGTAGGCTGAGTATGTTCCATTGGGATGGTGGTAAAGTGGTGCACTGGTAGTGCTGCAGAAGCACACTGACTTCTACCTGGGATCCGCCTATTTACTACACCTAATCTAAGAGGGACCATAATAGTCCACTCATAGACTTAGGACGTGAGGGCTAGAATAAAGCAAAGTAAAGGTCCTTCTGAGCCTGACTCCACTGGTGCTTTCCTTCGCTTTTGTCGTCAGGATGATGGGGACGGCTGGGTGGGCTCTGACTGACAAAACAAGAACACGGTAGTGTGGTGAGTGAAGTTGATTGATGTTGGTCATTATGTTGCAGCGGCTCGGGACCCCCTGGACGCTCCGGAGGACCCTCTCCCTACTACTCGTCAGACGTGGATGACGCAAGGGAGTTGCAGGTAGGGAGGGCTTTTCTCTCATTGCGTGGCCGGACGTGCACGAGTCCTTCGGATGAAGAGAATGAAGAAGAGGGACTGGGACGACGCAGACTTGGCCTACACAGTCCTCGCCGAGGAGGACGCAGCGAAGTGTGGAAGACGGAGGACAGTGAAGAGGAACGACCAGGGTCTTCCTCCAGAGGACGTACTGGGCCGGCCTGCCCCCGTGGGGACTCCTCCTGCTCCAGCTGTGGGGGTTCCTCAGCAGCGAGCAGTAGCCCGCCTCCCTGCGCCCTGTCCCGTCTTTGAGAGGAGCGGCGTCCAGGGAAGGTCCAGGCGCCACAGGGATGAAGATAAGAGGAAAGCCCATCTCCTAAGAGGGCCGCGCTTCTCCGCTCTGAGGACATCCGGGAGGTGCCCACCGCCCTCCACCTCTGCTGGACGTCCGGGAAGTTTTTCGCCACTACTCCAGCACTCCACCTGCTCCAAGACTCCGACTCAGAGAGGAAATGAAGGCTCAGACTGAGACTGGAGACAACAGGTCCTGGAAGGAAGAGGAGGAGAGAAGGCCACGCCCTGTTTCTACAGCACTTTGACACCAGAGGAGGTCACATAGTGGCTTCACATGGGACACACCCCACCATCAGCAGCCCCATTTCTCCTCTGAACATTTATTTATTTTCTTGATTTAATTTATTGGGGCAAAATGTTTGCCATTTACCCTTAAGCCAAAAATAAACCCAAGGTGTGTCGCCTTTTGACAGATATATGTGTATCAAACATAAAGCATGTGTTCATCAGTAGAATCACAAAAGGAATAAGATGATGTAATAAGGATATATTCTATCATAGGGAGTAGTTATCAGTGGATGAAAGACACAGAGAAAGCCTTTCAGAGACACTTTGAAAGGCCTGGAGAGCCACTGGTCGCCCGCACTATAGGTTTAAGAACATTTTTGTTGCCGTGGGCTAGATCAGTCATAGTTTGTTTCAAAAGAGGAGAAGGCAAAGAAAACTTATGTAGGACTTCCATAAAGTGTAAATCCTGACAAGTGTCCAGAGCGAAACAGATTGAACATGAGCAGTAATCCACAATGATCCTCATGTGAGCAGAGGTCTCACTCTGTCCTCCATATACTCGCTTTGCCTTTCGCCTGTGGGGAGTCGCCCGATAACCAGCCCTTTGAACTTTATGGAAATAAAGTTTGTTGATTGATTTATTGATGGTTGCGGGTGCGATTCCCACTGCTTTGATGTGCATTTTTAAATCAAAGGTCAGGAAAACTATGTAGGAACGTATTTAGACACAGATCAACTTTGACAAAAATCACTCAATGACACAATGACTTGATAGTATTTGAGAATGGAAGAAATAAGAGCTTAAGCTGACACTCTAGTGTGGTTTCCTGCATAGTACGCCTGCCTTGGTGTTCACTCTAGAGCAGGGATTTCCCCAAGATGGGGGCCCGTGGGCCACAGGGTCACCCTGCTCTAGAGCTGAGGAGGATCAGCAGGAGAGGAGGGGAGACCATCTACAGGGTTGTGCTGTGATCCCTCCCGCCATCCAAGGATTCTGCTTTAAATCCATTGCTGGGTTGCGAGGGTAGCGTCTCTAAACTCAGACGCCCGAAACTCCCCTCTCCACCACACTTCCTCCAGCGCATCCGGGGGAAGCCCCGAGGCGTGCCAGGCCAGCTGAGAGACATAGTCCCTACAGTGTGGCCCTGGGTCTGTCCGGGGTCTTCTCCCGGTGGGACCAGTTCTGAACACCTCCTCTGGGGGCGTCCAGGAGGTCTCTGAAACAATGTCCAGAGGCCCTCTTGACATGGAGAAGCAGGCAGCTCGACCGGTGCTCCGCCGAGGTGACTGAGCTCCGCGGCCTAAATCTCTGAGGGAGGGAAACTGCAGAGGAACATCATTTCCACCTCTTGTGTCTGAGGACACAGTGGCTCAGTCGTGACAGTGGCTCAGTTGGTAGAGCATTGGGCCTGTTGGGCCTGAAGGTCCAATAGGTTCGAGCCCACCACGAGACCTACTTCATCAGACTCTCACTGATGTCTGCTGTGGTTGTGTCCTTGGGCAAGACACGTTAACACCACTTTGCCTGAAGCCCCTGACTGGAAGACCAAATCTCCTGTGGACTCACCACCTGCAGAGGATCAGTGAGGGCTGGTGCTCTGACTGCCACCCCTCGTCCAAGAAATGGATGAAGGGGAAGAAAATGGATGGATGCTATCTGTGAATCTCGTCCTTTTTCGGTCATTACCCAAAGCTCATGACCAGAGGTTGTTCACGAGAGGCTCTCTCGTGAACAAGACCCCGAGATACTTGAACTCCTCCACTGGAGGAAGGACCTCTTGCACCTGGAGAGGGCGAGGCACCTTTTTCTGGTCGAGCCCCATGGCCTCAGATTTGGAGCTGATCTTTTACTTCACACTCGGCTGCAAACCGTCCCAGTGCATGTTGAAGGTCCTGGTTTGTTGGAACCAACAGACTAACATCGTCTGCAAACAGCAGATACGAAATCCTGTGGTCTCCAAATTTTTAATTTATTTCATATTAATGTATTTGTTTGGACAATGTAGACAGGACATATTAACCAAACAAAGCTGAATGCAGAGTAAAAGGTAATGCACTTTAAAACATTCTGTCCCTGTGCTTTTCTACACTCACTTTAAAAGTTTAGAAGATTCTTTTTGGGTTCTTCTAAACCAGACAATATAAGTTTTAAACCTCAAGGTAATAACATCACAAAACCTTATATTGTCTGGTGTTAAAGAACCCAATACTGTTGAATTTCACTTTTAAAACCGTCTTGAACACAATAATAAAGGTAAATGTCCTCTCCTTCATTGCCTCACACACACAAGTCTATTTGACAGATTTAACAGTTTGTCAAAGGACAAAGAGTGGTCACAGTAAACCCATGTGCGCTTGTTGTGAAGGTACAGCCTTCAACAGGAATTTGAGGCTGGTGAACTTTAGAGTCCTCGGCCAAATGGATACATGATACTCTTGTTTGGGCTGAGGACAGAAGACAAGACACTGCCAGCTTTGACAAGCACTGAGAGAACACACACATCAGCACACCAGGTAGGAGTGTGTGTTAAAGTCCATGGTACATCATTGTGTGGATGAGCACATGAGGAACACACACTGACAGCTTTTAACTGACTCTGTCATATCAAAGTCATGCAGTTTGTTTCCAGATTTGTGGT